ATTTAATATGTCTGTAGATGCACTGGCCACACATGAAAGTCTGCTGCACTGGTAATTTCTTCAAATTAACTAAATGTGTATAACACTTGTCTACAAATGATAGTCTTACGAACACGTATCGTAGATTTATTACACCCAGTTTTTGCAAGTACTTATTAATTATTTATATTAAAAGTACTGCATTTCAGAATTGGTTATTTGCGGAGAATAAAAGCAAAAAAAAGGTCAAGAGAGTAAATAATTACTGATATTTGCTAGACTAAAAGCACGTTTTTTTTATGCATAAAACTCAAGATATGCATGAGCTTTTAACTTTTATTGCCTGATTATCTCACAGCATATTTTATTTATGTGTAATATGTAAAAAACTATACACTTTATTATTACAGATCCTTGCTCAACTTAGTGCACCTTCAACAAAAAAATACACTGGTAAACTGTTGCTTCCTCATTACTGATGCTTGTTAATCTAAAAGCCCATTTTGTTTAAAATACTACCAATAAAGTATTCATAATCTAACTGCTACTGTTTGCTGGACTGTTTATTTAAGTCACAAGCAAAAGCACAAGACAGCTTGTTTGTAATTGCCAAAGTCTTGCTTGCCTAAAAAGTATTTTATCTAAAAAATGATCGAAAAACTGTTTATTTTTCTATTTTTTGATGCTAGCCCCTCTAGAAGCACATCTTATTTTTTAATAGTACGGGAAAAACTGCAATCGTTGTAATCACTGTTGCTAGCTCACCTGAAAGCACATTACGTCAATTAACAATCCTAAAAAAACTGTTAAGTTCTTAATGACTAATGTTTTCCTGACTAAGAACACATTTTATTATTAATAATACTGAATATCAGTTGCGTTTTCAATTAACGATGCTTCCTTTCCTTAGAGCGCATTTTCTTTATAAAAAGTATTGCGAAATAGATCAGTTTACAATGGCTACTGCTCTCTCACTACAGAGCACATTTTATCAATTAATGTTTCTCAGAAGACTGTCGTATATCTTATCTTTGATGTTAACTCGCCAAAGAGCCCATTTTACTTCATAATTATACTAAAAAAACCATCGTTTTATCAATTAGCAATGCTTGCCCACCTTAGGCATATGTTATTTATTAATAATACTGCACAAAAAAATCGTTTTGCATGACTCGATGTTTTCATGCTTAAAGAAACATTTTATTTTTAAAGTACATTACAAAACAGTGGAACTTTCTATTGCTGATGCTTGCTTGTCCAAGATTACGATTTTTTTATGAATAATAAAAAAAAAGTTGTATTTCTAAAAAAAGTGAGTGGATGAATATTCAAAAAGACATAAAACAATTTTTGGCTATGACGTTGCCAATAAACGATTTGAAGTAGTTTTTACCTTCTATTTGCACTCTTAATGCAAGCTTTCAAGGTTGCTTGTCCGAGATTACGATTATTTTATGAATAATAAAAAAAAAGTGTAATGATCGTATTAAACTTTCGAGAGTAATTCGAAGGTAGGGGTAAGGAAATAAGTTCATTATTAAACATGTAAAATACTACTAAAGAATGTATTTTCACAGAAAAGTGAGCGTTATAAAGCGGAGCTGTAGAAAGCGTTACATGAACTTTAGTAAGAGATGGAATTTTCGAAGGTATTAATAATAAAATTATGTACAACAGTTAAATTAGTGGAAGTTCTACTACTACGCAGTCATGGTAAAAGTTGTAGGCTAATAAGATATTAACAAACATTTATTAAGTTCATAGATCTCCCATTCAACTTTTGCATATGTGGCTATGCCTGCTCAAAATTAAAAAAAATTTGACAAATTATCATTTCTTATCATTCAACCCAAAGTCTTTTTACTTTTGATTAATTATATTAACAAGTTAAACTTTTTTATAACAATTTTCTCTCTATAATCCTTAATAAAGGTTTTAACTCTTCTGTTATGCATTTAATTATTGTACACGTATAATAAAATATGAACAATCTCACATTTACTTGAACTTGTTAAGAAAAACTCTTTTTTTAAATTATAGTATTCTTTTGTACGCAAAATAAAGTTAGATTACAACTTTAACTGTATTATATAGCTAAGGAATATGTGTAGTATTTTTCATACATTTCATCACTTTTAATGAATCTTTTAATTAATTGCCATAAGTAGTTGACATTTATAAAGCTATAAGTCTATTATTACCTCCACAGTTAAGACATATTTAATAATACATCGTTTATTAAAAAGCGTATGACACTCGAGGCTTCAGATGGTCCCAAAGAAACAGATATGCATACATACATAGATACAAACATAGTCATTTTCATACACACTTACAGACGTACATACATATCCATACATAAATTCATGCATACTTGCATACACACATCCATACATTTACAGATACATGTGTGATTTACATCTGTCAAAAAATCATTTGTTTTAGGAACAGCCAGATATAAATTGTTGCACGACTACTGTGTGAAAAAAAAATTTTTTTCTTTAAATCTTTACTTTTTGTGAATTGTACTTTGATTATTGTAAAACAAACATTATTTTTCAAAGCACATAAATTTGGTTTTTATTAATTAGATTCTCTAATTCATAAGTTAAGTCGAGTGTCATAGGAAACACTTTTATCAGATAAGATAAAATGGGTTTTTTTAAGAAACCTAATGTTTTCTATTACTAATGTATATTCTTACATTCTTATAATCAAGCTTGTTTTCATTTTTCTGTACATACACCAGTAACAACACTTACACGCATTTCCGTATCAATAGTAATATTTTTAAAGTAACTTAAATTTTTACCAGCACGCTGATACAGGCTTGTATGTTCAAGAGGATTTTTGCCTTCCTTTTGAAACGTCATTATTCTTTGATCGTATGTGAGATTAGAAAGTTGTCATTCTTATATAAAATTACTAAAGTGAAAAAAATTTGTTTTCCACTTTACTTAAATCTCATTAGAAATCTTATTTTTCGGTTAATGCAAACTGTTTTATTTTATGGATGAACGATTCTTGAATGGACGTTTTTAATGAATCATAAATACTCTAACGTGTTAAAGTGTTTTTGGTGCCAACGCTCACCATCACATAATTGACTCACTTTTAGGTTTTCATATACTTTACCTAATCAAACTTTTATCGTAAGAATAGTTTAGTCAGAGTACAAAAGACAATTCTACCATTAAAGTCAATTTAGAAGATTTAAGTTACACTATTATGAATTAAAAAAATGAAGATGTTAAAAACACGTAATAACAAAATTACGCTGTACAAATTGTTATAAAAATGTTAGTTCAGTTTTACTTTCAATTAGCTTTTTTATTGCTTTTGTAATGTATACTTCACACTCAGCCATCGAATAGTTATAAGTAAAGAAGCAAATTTGAGTTTTGACAATGATTAATGTAATATTTTTCATTTAGTCGCTATTCTACAGTCCTGACAGCACAAAATCAGGACTTTTTTCACTCGAAATTACCTAATTATTTCATTGCTTTTGCAGTAAAAGAAAGAAGCTAGTTTATATTGAGTAGTCACTTGAAATATGCTTATTGATCCACGGGATTTTTAGATTTCACCCACTTTCTTAGACAATATTACATTATATTTACGGTTTAGCAAAGAGGGAACTTGGTTTACTTGTATTTCTCTACAGCAGTCACAACTGCTTATAAATTTTCATGCTTAACTTTGACTTATAATTTACTCAAGCTGTAAAAAATATTTTTATCTTTGGTTTTTCGCGGCAATGCTAAACATTTTTATAATGTCCTTATTAGGATGAGCCATGCCTTTCTTTTTTATTTAAGTGTATTCCTCTCTACTTATTTACTTATTTGATTCCTAAATGCTTTATTTCTAAATTAGCAAAGTAATTGTCGAGTTGATAAATACGAGATTATTACAAAAACATTATTGCCGAAATTCTATAGGCCTTATTTAACAATAATTAGCGATTCAATAGTTTTTATTATTAATTTATTAATTTTATTAAATTTAACATTTTTGACGAGTTTAAAAGCTATAATACAGAAAAATAATTAATTTAATGTAAATATTACATAATTAAGACATATGCCACATGTAAACCATACTCAAACAGTAATAATTGATCAAATGAAGTAAGAAGTTGGAGAAAAACAAAGCCCATTCTTAAAATTTGTTTATTTGTTTTGACTAATGAAGCAACTTATTTTATACCGAAAAACCCCTTTTAACGTATTATATCTTAAATATTCTAATCGATGGAACTGAGTGAAGCTGTATATAAGGCTTGGGGTGGTAAATTTTTTATCGAGAAAAAAGAGCTTCAGTCATAAAAGTTAAATAAAACCGTGGCTTATCTTGTAGGCATAGATTTATCCTCTAAATTATATCATCATCGTATCACTGAGGGGACACAGATGCTCCTGAGCTTAAACGTAAATGTTGATGATCATTTTCTATTGTTTAAATGTTATATGCTTCGTACTAGAACAAGGCAACAAAACGATATGAGAGAATTAGAAACACGTTGGCAATACATAGATGACGCAGAGAATTAGGCTCACGAAAATGAAATAGTAACAAGGTTACCGAAATAACATCACGATTTAATATTGAATTTACTCTGGTACTACGTGTGTCTCTGAATTAAGTATTCTTGTATATAAACCTTCAAAATCTTTGACAAAATCTACAATTATTCAATTAAATCAGAAACTATGATAAGATTATAATTGTCGAGGTATATATAGTTTATCTTAAACGAAAAAATTCCTTCAAGCGCAAGATATTATTCGATCTGCACGTACAGATTCACACATTTTTTTTGTCACAATTAAACTTAAATGAATACAAGCTTGCTGATCCTTTATTTTCTAAAAATTAAATTAATGTGTATTAACAAAGTGACAGATCACCCCCAAAAAAGGGGGTTAAAAAAATGAGAAATCAATCAAGCTTGTTCTAGTAGCTAAACAAGATATAGTGATTTCAAAATAAGTGCTGCCTCCGCAGGGCACTCAAACAGAGCTGCCAGTATAATGTAACAAAATATAAGGTAAATAGTAAGGTAAAGATTTTTCCAGACACCTTCATAGATATATGGCATACGGCTGGCGCAAAAGGTGTGGCCAAGGACCCCTCTTTCGCAAATATAACGTGACCGGAGAGGCGGGGGGTTCAAACCAAAATCCCCGAGAATTTAGAAATAATGGTGACAGGTTCCGTATGTAATTCAAAACATAATAACTGACGTTTCTTGGCCGGTAACAATAACTTAATTTTTCTTTTTTTTTTAATATTATTTTTTTTTAATAATGAAAAAGATAACAGGAGTGGATATTGAGGAAGGATTTTTTAATAAAACAATTCAAAATTTATTTAATCCATGTATTGTATGAAAAACACATACTATAAGCTTACATGTCAGCGCATATAAATTGAAAAACTGTGCTATTCTATGATTACACTTAAATTTGATGGTTTAAGTACATGTATTGCTTAAAATACGATTATTTATATGATTCTTTCGCCTAGTGATACGATGAAAAAAGGATACAGCTTACAGCTACTTTGTCGTTGTTGAGAGTATCTGATAAAAAAAAATTAGCAGAACAAGCCCAAAACATAGTTGGTGCACATAAAAAATAGAAAATCGGTACAGTAGTTGCCGCAAACACCAGAGTTAATATCTTAGAAGCTATTGTGTATTTCAATGATACTGGTAACAATTTGTAAGAAACACAATTTCTTTTTAGTCTATTGGTATGATGTAGTAACGTGGGGGGCAGACCATAGCTGTCGAAGTATACCTCATGACCTTCAAGATCAACATATGTAGCTACCCAATGCGAATCTGTCTTAGAACTTTCATCGGTATTAATTATGAGAGCGCATGGTCTCACCCAAACTAAAGGTAACTATTTTGCGGAAAATATACCAGCTTTCTTTCCAGGTATATTCCAAAAAGATACATGCAGTTGCATCGAGTCCGTAATAAAAGATGTGCGACCTTTTACGAGTTGAAATTTACAACTACCAAACGGTTTGAGTCTATTTCAAATATGTTGTCAAATTGAGTATATAGAATGCAATTCATAGTTTTCGTGAGAGCTATCTCGAAGCGTACTTTTATTTGTATATTTTTTTATTTGTACCATTTTTCATTAAATTCCAATGATCTGCAAAATGCGACGAGAAATCGGGCGTCAAATCAAATGCAAACAGACTGTATCCATTGGGATAGTCTTTTATGTGAATACCATTTTCCTTATTTATATAGTAGATTCCAGTGCCCAAAAGTAAAGTACGATATTCTTCCACATACATAGGTGTGCTTTCTGCAAAAGTCGATAGTAGCGGCTTAGTAGGGGCTTGTACAACATACAAAGGCATACAAATTATAGAATAATTTTGAAAGTTAAAAGGATTTCTCTCTTAATCCCTATTAAGGGCTTTGTTGTCAACAAAATTTAAAATCCAGTTACCTTATCTCACTATCTAGGGTTAAAGATTTTTGCTTGGCTACTCTTAATTGACTTTTTTTCTTTTCTTTTACTTTTTTTAACGAGATGTTTACACCACCACTTAAACGCTGAAACTGTGCTCTTCTTTTACATGGTGAAGCATTGTATCCTGATCCTTCCATCAGCTTCACAATTTTTTCTGTAGCTTTACGTTTCAAGTTTTTGCCAGATTCGTTCATCCAATTCGTAAATGCGTGTTTAATCAGTAAATTGTTCTCTCCAATATCATCAATTATATTTACTCCCACTCGTAAAGCTTCTTTTCCAAAGGCACGAACACCTCTAACTGTGTAAGGCATAGCACTTCATAATAGTCCGGTGAAAAAAGAGCCTAATCCATGCCCTATCTATCTATGAGACCCTGCAAACACATGGTTGACTCCTCTTCTTCCCTTGTGCTGTGTATGATACCCCTCGTAAAAAACCATTTAGTAACGACTCGCTTATAAGAAAACTTTTCTGAAATATAACACCCTGGCCAGTGTCCCAAACTTGAATGATATTGGTTCACCAAATTGATCTCTTATGTCTATATTGATCCCATGAAATTGATTATTGAGGAGGTTTAGGTTGGCAGAGTATACCTCTTGACAATTGTGCTTCCAAAATAAATTTTTTGAGCGGCTAAATTTACTATTTTCAGCAGAGGTGCAAATATATTACCATCAATGTTTGATTCACATATATTAAAACAGATAAAATGTGGATCGGGTACCACTCTTGATAAGCTTTCTGGTTGTTTACCGTGAAACAATAGCCTGAAATCTCCTCTTATTTTGGCAAGGGCGTGTTCAATCTCTGTCAACCTTTCTTTTAACCTAATAACACGTTTCACTCTAGTGGATATAACTGGAGATTTTTCACATGTTTTTGTACGTCCCGATTGTGTTATTGGAAAACCAATAAATACAAATCTTTCTCGACGATCACAAATAAGCTGCTGACGTTTCTTATCTTTATGATAATATTCCAACCTTTTTCTATTTACTTTCTTTAATAAGCTATGTACAGAGTTATAGGTACTGTGCTGAACAAAACTTTATTTTTCTTCACCTGGTTCTGCCCCATAATCATAATCAATATGATTATTCGCTGCCTCTTCTCGTCAAATGTGTGAAATATTGACTGGTACGTGAATCTCGGAAATTCCAACCTTTTATTTACCACTTAGCTTGATTTCTTTCGGTAACTAAGTAGAAAAATTTGTTATTGTGTTGTTCGGAGATTTCATACTACTATTACTAGGTAGAATTACCGTAAACTCGTTATGATGCATTGTTTTTTAAATCTCTTGAATTTATTAACAAACTAAATTTTTCAGGGTATCCTATACTATTAATGAAGTGTTGTTT